TATACGTCCACCTTTGGGTGACCGTACGCTTTTGAAATAGCTCACTATAACCATCCTGAAGGAGATTCGTGTAATACCCCGTTTTATCGTGGATTATTCAGGAATAAATATTGATATTTGCTATTATTAAATTGACTTTATTATTATTATTATTATTATTATTATTATTAAATGTCTAATTATTTTAAATGCTTGTTATTATTATAATATATTATTGTTTGTATTATATATATATATAATGTCCGGTTTTATTTTTAATCCATATTGTCGTCGCGATCGTATTCGAGCCTTTTTCCAAACTAGTCTTATGTTTAAATCCCAGCCCAATTTATTAACATTTCAGCCCAAATAAAGTTTGTGTATTGGCCCAGCTGAGTAATGTCTTTGGCCCAAGATGATGTATTAATTTTGGGCCCAATTAGAGGTTTATCTTTGGTCCTAAATAATTATCAGCAGATCCATCTTCTCCTCCTCCTCTATCGGCAACGGCGCAGACCGATTCAATCGAATTGGCAGGTGAGGTTTTCTCGCGTTAATCCCTTCGTGCATCTCGCTTCGCTTCCTCTCCCACTTAAGACTCGGTTGGGGAGATTTTATCTTAGAAATCTCAAATCAAATTCGTCCCTCTGTAATCTCCCTCTCTCACCGAGCTGCGCGTCTGCCATTAATTCCGGTGACTCAACCATCCTCGCCAGAGTCCTTACGTCGCGTCACATTCCATGCCGCCGTCGACTTGCTGTTATCAATTCTTCGCCGCCGCTCGCTGACAACCCCGCTGTTCGAGAAGAGGCGTCCACGACTTGTCTGCCATTAATTCTGGCAAACACTCGAGCAGCGTCCCGCCGTCGCCAACCCTCAGCAATTCTTTTTGCGAACAACACTTCTGGAGAGTTTCGAGGTCCGTCTGTCGAGCCGTTCATCGAGCTTCTGAGGGTCCGTACGCGCGTTCGCTCCGCACCGATCCGATTTTCTGATTTCTCGACCTCATCTTTTGTAGACGGGTAACCTTTCGAATCCCTCTATCAAGTTCACATTTATTGTTCTAGCTGTATTTTATCATGCTAGTAAATAGTTGGATTCAATTATCGTCTTTTGCTCGGATTCTGATATTGGATCGTCTATTCGGATCGCCTATTTTTTTCATGTGTTGAATTCGTGAGTTCTGTGGATAATTGGGACTCTTGTTTATGAATGTCGACCCCCCTTTATGCTGCTGCTATGAATAAGTCATTTGGATTCGGAGTCTCGTTGTTGTTTCGAGTCTTGCCGTTGTCGTTATGTTATTCGTTTGTTTTTCAAACTACGTATCGTCATTTCGTTCTTCGAACCTTCTTGTTATTTTATTCGTGCTCGTGTATCACACTCGATTATCATCGTGCTCATTTAATCGAAATTCGATAATTGTCGGTTGAGTTATATTTATTAATCGGTTCGTATGCTGCGATTTGTAAGTTTTCGTAGACTTTCGGAACTCTTGTATATTGTATAAATAGAGTCTTGTTGCAGCTGGGAATGATTAGTCTTATTTCGGAGACTCGTTGTTACTTCCGGGTTGTCTCGTTCGTATATGTACTTTTCGTTTGAACCTTATATGTCGTTCCGTTTACTCGTTTCAAAAACCCGATTTTTTTTAAAGTTTTCAAATGCTGTGAAATTTTGATGTTGAACTTGCAGCCTGAAAAACTGTGTTTTAATGTGCTATTTGGCCTCAGTTCGCATTTCTTATTTTTCCAGTAGCAGGTTTCTTAAAACGTATATGTTGTAAAGTATGTAATTTTATAACGCGATTAGAGCATGTAGCGTGGTGGTCTTCTACGTGCTTGTTTATACGTGAGGTCAGGGTATCGAATTTCACCCTCAGCAGCCCATTTATTTTTCTTTTTCTCCAGCAGCCAGCGCGCGGGCCGCTAGGCCTGATCCTGGCCCGCGAGCGGCCCGTTTTTCTCAGCTGCTTGGGCCGCGCCCCAGCCCTGTTACGGCCCGCGTGCCTTAAGCTTGGGCCAGCCTCTTTTTGGGCCCAATTTCAGCATACATGAGGCCCAATTGTGGGGCAATTCTTGGTCAGCAATTAAACATGCGGCCCAATTGATTTTTTTAGCCAATTTTTGTGTTCCGGAGTCAATTTTTCATACCAATTACAATTTTAAAATACTTTCAAAATTAATAAAAATTTTGGAAAAATTATTTTGTCCCGAGACACCAAATTATTATTTTTCCGAGTCCTATTTTGCAAAAATGAGAGAGTTCCAAGTCCACGCAAAATCCGATTAAAACTCTTAAGTCTTAATTTTTATTAAGGATGAGTTTTATGTTAAATTCAAGTAGTGAGATATATTATTGATATATTATCTCGCTTAAATGTAGGTGTTTGAGGAGTCGAGCCCTCGACCTACGTGCTTGCTTTTGTGTGCAATATTCTACCGCAATACCAGGTGGGTTTTAATATAAAATTTGCTATGTTATAACTGAGGTAAGATTTTTATACTTTATGTCTATGAATGTATGTGTGAGTCATGAGACGGTGCCTAGTGGTAGGCGATCTCCAACCTTATGGTGGGTTGACTCATTTTAGCCTAGTTTATGGGCCGTGACCGTTGTTTTTGCACTCCGGCACGACTGTACTCCCGCTGACGAGTTTGGGCTTACCCCTGGCGGCTTATGATAGGTGTGCACATGAGTATAGTGATGAGTAGGAGAATAGTTTGATATGTCTTTTGGCCATGTACTTGCTTACGACTTTAGTATAGGTTCCTTACCAATATATTATGCATAGTGGTGAGCACCTCGTTTTTATTTGTGCTCATCCCCACCTGCTCTTCATTGATGCAGGATAAGCACGTGTTGGGCATGACGAGATTGAAGACGAGTGGGTGGTCAAACGTTATTTTGCTTTTATTTGCTTCCGCACGCTTGATATTGTGTTAAGATTAATTGACATTGTCGATTTCCCTATTGTCCGTGGATTTGGTTAAACGGTTGAACCATGTGGATTATTTTATTCAGTTTGGATTATATTGACAATCCTACTTCTAGATATGATGACATCTAGTTCTGGAACTTGAATTATGCTGAGTATTCTCGTTTCCTTTATGCTAATTATGTGTTTAACCTGGAAATATTCTCGAGTAGCGCCAAAGTTTTATAAAATCGATAAATGGTTTTCGAAATTTTAAAACAAGATTTTTGGATAAATCCGGAATGGTCTTGCAAAATTTTGGGGCGTTACAATTCGTCCTTGTGAACCGTGAAATAAAACGTCCTTTGGGCTCGAATT